ACACATATACATAATGCTATATCTTTTATATAAGAAAAAAATATATGAGGCAAAGTAGAAGATAAATAGGAAGCAGGGAGCTCTTTTTCAAAGGAACAAGAGGGAAGAGGAAGGGTGGTAAAAGGGATAAAAAAAGAATTGAAGGGGGAAAATGATGAAAATAGAGCTTTTGCAAATGGGAAGGGGATTGAAACTTGGAGAGAGCAAGAGAGTGAGGTAGGGAAAAAAGAATTAAGATGTGTTGTGCACATGCACCACTTCCCATGTTTATCATTTACTGTAATCACTGTATACTGCAAACATGTACCAATAAAAAAAAAATACCCAGGGAGTATTCAAATAGCATACAAAAAACAAAGAGAGGGGCAGGGTCTGATAGGGCTCAGAGTAGTGCACTTACATATAGGAGTCCTGGATTTGATCCTTAGTCACACACACACACAAACACACACACACACACAAAGAACAGGTAGATCACTGGGGCTCCCAAAGAAAATTTACACCTGCATTTCTTTCATTATTTTACTAGTAGCTCCTTAACTTACTATATACAGTATTTCTCTGTGCATCCCTTTCTCAGAACACAAGGTACAATTTTAAAACTGCATGGCTCTTGTCATTTAAATAAGATTTACACCAGCAAGCACAAACTGTAGGCGATCTTTTTTAAATTTTGCACCAAAATATAACACAATATCAATTGGGCAGGTACATTTTAAATGATAATGTCTAGTAAGATACTTTCCAGACACATGTTACCTGATCAATTCCCCTTCCTCTGCACTGAAGAATGATGACTTCTAGAAGTTTGGCTGCGTGGCATTCGGCGTCTTCTCCTGCATCTCCACACAGGACCTGCAGTGACCACAATGCGGGTCAGCCCTGAGTGGCACCGCATGGTGTTCAGTCAAGGCCACTTGAAGTCAATTCCCACACAAATTCAGTCACGGGAATCATGGCTTTCAAGTTCACCTTGTCAACCCAGAGAAGGAAGGTTAAAGGCCAATCTATTTTTTACATATCTATCATATCTTCTCTAATCCTCAGAAGATGAAACAATTAATTCACTTATTTGACTTTGAATTAAAGTAAAGCTATATGAGTTATAAAGTAAGCTATCTGAGTTAACTGTTCAGGTAAATGAAGCCTCCCTTTAAAAGCAGCAAAACAAATCAAATAAAAAGAAAAATCTTTATAAGAAATCAAACGCTCTTTTCTGTTCCTTCTGAATTCTTGTCCATATACACCTGTATTTTCATATTGTAATTTGATATTACACACCTTTCCATTTCCCCACCTGGACTTCATAATTAGATATATTTTCCATAATTAATTAACCAGTAAGTACTGTATCACAGAAGATGAATTATAACAGTTACTAGACTATTGTCCTATCATCAAATCCATATTTTCACTATTATAAATAATTCTACAATGTACATGCTCATATATAAAATTTGAAATGATTTGGAATATAGCTTGCTTATATATTGGAAATTAAGAAAGATCGAAAGTTAGTAAATTAAAGAGTCCAAACACAAAAACTTAAGAAGATCTAGATAAACCCAAAGAAATAGAGCAGAAAAATTATAGACAAAAAGAGATGACAGAAAAAAGCAGATTAATTTTAAAAAGACAGTGAATTACATAGCTTTTGCCAAAATTATTTTTAAAAAGAAAGCAAACTTTTAAAATATTAGGAATGTAAGAGATAAATACAAATTAGAAATAGAACATTTTGGAGAACTCCATAATCTTTATACTTTTTAAAACTTAAAACACTGGGTAATTGCCTAGAAAAATACAGTTTAAGAAAACTGAATTAAAAAGAAATTCTAGCCAGGAATTTAGCTTAGTGGCACCACGTCTGCCTTGCAAGCGCAAGGTTCCAAGTTCGATCCCCAGTACCGAAAAAAAAGAAATTCCAAGCCTGGCCTGGCAGCACATGCCTGTAATCCCAGCCCTCCAAGGCTAAGGCAGGAGGATCACTGTGAGTTTGAGGCCAGCCTGGGCTACATAGAAAAACTAAACAAAACAAAGCAAAAAAAGAAATCCTAGATAAAGATGATAGATTAAACATTTCTATTTAACTTTATTTCCTCCCCAAGGCCACTAAAATAACAGCAAAAAGATTTTAAAGTTTCACATCCACAAAGACAAAGAGAACAATAAAATTTTTGCAAGTTGGAAAACAACTCATAAGCAGATAATCAGCCCTATTTATATAAATGTAAAATTCCACCTTTAGGGTAGTGTATCAAGACCTGAGTCCTACCTAAATACAAACAGGCTCTAGAATCAGCACAACTCTGTCATGTTAGTTATGTTCTGAGAAAAGCTATTTAACCTCTGTGTCTTACTGACCCCATCTATAAACAACGATGGTATCATTACGTGGGACTGCATGATAGAGAAAGAACAACAATTCATTGCCTTTTCCCAAAACTGCATCCACTTGGGGGTGTACCTGGTGAATTTTTATTTGGCAGAACAGAAAGAAGCTATATCTTGTAATTAAAGGGTGTGGGGAGCCTCTGCAGTCAGGCTACTGGGTTCACATCTGCCTCCAACACACAATAGTTATGTGACTTAGAACAATTTCCTACACTTCAGGCACAGTGAAAGAAATTATAGCTCTGTTTTTTTCATTGATAAAAATGTGACAACTCGCTCCTAAGATGAAATAAGTTAATAAAGTGCTCAGGAAATACCTGGTTAATTTTAAGAATTCAACAAATATGAGCTAGCACTAAAACCAACAATATGAAATATATTTTAACAACTTGATAAATCGAAGACCTGTCTTGTCTATTCACTGCTTTCTCTCTTTCTCTCACTTTCACTACAACCAAGGGGGAAACAAGATTGGGGCTATAATGGAGGAAGACGGGTTATCGCAGAGCTCAGGGAGTCTTTTAAACACAGTTCAAACCCTTTGGCTTAGATGTGAAATTGACTTAACTTCTCAAAATTTCATAGACTTTTCATAACTGAACTGGGTCCTAAGCTAGATATACTAATTCAGAGCACTCACCAGACCTTGGTAATACAAGTCTTCTAGTAAAGCAATAGGTTTTACATTTAATATTTTATTTCCAAATCTACAGCAAACTTTTTGGTTTCTGGATATTTGAGGTTTCTAAAATCTGCTGCCAGCTCTATGAAAATCTAGTTTTATGTTTTGTATATTCATATATTCATTAAAAGGAGAAGAGGGGCCGGGGATTTAGCTCAGTGGTGCCGCTGCCTGCCTCTAAAGCACAAGGTCCTGAGTTTGATTCCCGGTACCAAAAAAAAAAAAGAGGAGAGGAAAACATTTAGTCATCAAAGATTCCAAGTTGTAACCCCTAGCAGGGCAAATCTAACCTGTGACAAAGATACACGATGAACAATCATGTCTGGGTGTAAATATAGCAACAGCCATTATGAGGATTATAAATTATCTTGTATGCACTGAATAGCATTCTTTTTTTTTTAATGGTGTCCTTTTCCAACTACAGTATCACAACTGTTTTATCTTATACTTTTATGTTCATCTAACAGATTCTAATATATACCCTCACCTAGAATAAAAAAGATTAGTGCCCTTTGGTCATAGATTGACAAACTGTGTGGTTTAAGCGTGACTTAAAGTATATAGGAGGATGGACAACGGTTATATGCAGATACTGTTCTATTTTCTTTAAAGGACCTAAGCATCCATGGATCTGGGCACCCAGGAGTCCTGGAACCAGTTCCCAAGGCTGAAGCCAAGGGATGACTACAGGTACTTTGAAAATTAAAAAGTACACAGATATTAAAGTGCTAAACATTTCTGGACACAACACATATCATGAAACTTTCAAATTACAATTGCAAGCACATTCTGAAGATGCGAATTGATCAACATACGTTGATAAGGGTAAGGCAGAGTACAGATAAGAAAGAAGCTAAACACTCAAACACCAGTAAGAACGCTGGAACAACTGACTAGAACACACTTACCTTTCTACACATTGTAAAAAGTACTTCTAAATGCTTTGGATTTGAGAGTAAGGTGTTTGTATCTATTGTCACATAATTATGCAGGAGAGGCATCATGTCTAAGGAGGAAATTCAAAACTCCAATGAGACTTAAGCAACAGGAGTAGAAACAAATTATTCCCCCCAACACCACACTTCTGTGGACCCCACACTTTACTGTTTTCCCAGGGACCACAGAACACTAGGCATGAGAGTGACACCTCCGCCCTACTTGTAAAGAAAATGTGGGGCAGAAAGATTACAATGTGCACAATGTATTGTAGTGATTGCTTCAAATCTTTTTCTGCTCCGCTGCACTCATCAACATCTGACACTGTAAATTTTCTCGCTTTGTCACCTGAGTGCTTCCTCCATCTCTTCCCCGCTAGAATATGAGCTTCAAAAGAGCCACCAAAGTGCACAGCTGTACTGCTAAGCTTAGAATACTGCTGAGAATATAGCTAGTACTCAGAAAATATTTACTGAATTAAACATGGATATACACTCTAGGACAAACCAACTAAAGACATAATAAACTGAGCATGGTGGCTCAGGCCTCTCTGGGAGGCTGAAGCAGGAGGATTCCAAGTTCAAGCCTACTCTGGGCAACTTAGACACTGCCTCAAAATTTCAAAAGGCAAGGGGCCAGGGATTTGGCTCAGTGGTGCCACCGCCTGCCTCGCAAGCACAAGGTCCTGAGTTCAATCCCCAGTACCAAAAAAAATTTTTTTTTAAAGGCACTTAGATGTGGTTCAGTGCAAAGGCCCTGGGTTTGATCCTTAGTAATGAAAAGAAAAAAAAAAGACTCTACCTCTACTGACAGCTGAAAGACACTGCTACAATAGCTCCACCCTTCAACAGGTAAAAAAGAACATTTTCTTACTAGTACTGGACTCATGTGTATTTACTTCAAGTGGCAAAGTAATACCTAGATACAGAAAAGCAAACATATTATATGACTAAAGCCATACCTGTGAAGTATTCAAAGCAATCCTGCTGAAAAACTTCATATAAAATACCTAGAAGCTGCCACATTTGAGGGGAAATAGTGTGGCAGGTTAAACTGTATGCCAGTGAAAGAATTTCTTCATAGAACTCTGGAAGAAAATGTCCAGTTAGAATGCTAGGAAACAGCATAAACTCCACACAGAGACCACACAGAGTGGGTTTCCACACATGCGGCCTCTTGTATCTCACATGGGTTCCACGCACCCCTTTCTTGGCTCTGCCTCAGCAGCTACAGATTCACCATCTTTTATTCCTTCCCAACACCTGTCCTCCCCTCACTGCCTTTGCAGTAAGGCAAAAAGATGTTTTTACTAACATTTCTTATAATACTAAAAATTAATTTCTTATTTTATAACATGTTAAATATGGTTTATATTTATAAAATTGTATTAGAAATATATGAGAGAAGAAATTGATGATCACGCCTCACTCATAGTGGATTTTAAGTTTACAAATGATTAGAAATTTTCTTCGGAGTGCTTAATTACACAGGGTAAAAATATCTGCTTAGCTCACGTTATATTTTTACAAATAACTATATACTGTATTTTTTTCATTTTATGAAACTTAAACATTTGTGCAAAAATTCTTCAATTTACCTCAAAAGGGTTACACCCACTATAAGGAAGAGCCCAAAGGAAATGTTCTTATATTCTCACACATATTTATTATAATTACCATCAGTCAAAAGTAAATTGTATCTTTACACAATCAGAAATATAAACCTCAATACAAAAATTACAAATAACTCCTATCATGTTCTTGAGCAAAGTCTAACCTGAAAGTTTTGTTTTTCTCTCATAGGAGGAACTAATACTTACCCTAGAAACTTGAATATTTTTTGTATAACATTTAAAACACACTCAGAAGTTAATAATACATTTGCCTTATTGAAAACAAAATGAGATGGAAATCACAAGTACTGGGAAACAATCACTTGTAGAACAACAAATTATCTGCACATAGGATTCCTGAAAGTTCTAGCATAGCATTAAAACAGATAAATAGACCAAAAGAATAGCAAAGAGCACTACAAATAAATCCATGTATTTATAGTCAACCAGTTTTCTGAAAAGAGAATAAGATGACACTGGGGAGGGACAGTCTTTTTAGTAGATGATGCTGGTAAAACTAGACATCTGTGTTACAAAAATCAACTCAGAATGGTTTAAACAAACATTAGCAAGGAAAAAATATGAGAAAAGGAAAAAATGGAAACAAAGTCTTTGTAAATAAGGAGGGGTGGAGGGGCTGAAGGGAGGGCAGGGGAATGGGGAAAAAATAAGAACCAAGATATATCATGTAAAGGTACAAATTCCCAATGATGAATGTCATCATATTGTATATCTAAAGTATACCAATACACTTAATGAATTAAAAAAAATTAGCACCTGAAATTGTAAAAGAACTAGAAGAAAATACAGGGGGAAAGCTCTATGACATTGATCTAAGAAATGTTTTTTGATACAACCCGAAAAATCTAGGAAACAACACCAAAAAATAGACAAATGGGATTATATCAACCTAAAAGGTTTCTGTAGAGTAAAGGGAATGAGGGAAAAGAGACAACCTCCAGAATGCAAGAAAATATTTGCAATGGATCTGATAAAGAATTAATATTTAAGGGCCGGGGACTTAGCTCAGTGGTTATGCCACCTGTCTCAAAAGCGCAAGGACCCGAGTTCCATCCCCAGTACCAAAAAAAAAAGAATTAATATTTAAAATACATTAGGAACTCTACAGCAAGAAAACAAATAATTTAAAAATGGGAACCAGGCATGGGCCATGCATCGTAGTTCCAGCTACTCAGAAGGCAGGGGCAGGATGACTGCTTGAGTCGAGGGATTCAAGGCCAGGCTGGGTAACATTGAGAGACCCCAAGACATACAAATGGCTAGCAGGTGTATGCAAAAATGATCAACATAGGCCAGGCTCAGTGACACACTGAGCTTCCTGGGAGGCTGAGGCAGAATTGCAAATTCAAGGCCAGCAAGGCAATTTAAAAGTTAAAGAAGTCTCAAAAATAAAAATGTTCAACATGACCGATCATTAGGCAAACGCAAATTAAAATCACATCATACTTGTTAGGATGGCTATTATAAAGACAAAGGATCACTACTGGAGAGGGTATAAGAAAAGGGAACGCTTTTATAGTGTCGGTGGGAATGGATACTTGTGCAGCCCCTGGGGAAAATAGAGATTGCTTGAAAGTGCAAATTAGACCTACCACATGATTCAACAATCTCACTACTAATATTTATCCAAAGAAACTAAATCCAAGATCTTGAAGAGCTGTCTGTATCTCCATGTTTGCTGCAGTACCATTCACAACAGCCAAGATACAGAAAAGCCTAAATGACTGAATAAAGAAAATGTGGTATATATTCAGAAGAAATGGACATTCCATCATTACTACAACATGGACAGACCTTGAGGTCACTGTGCTATGTGAAATAAGCCATAAAAATACTCACAAAAGTTTTTCTATTATTATTAACAAAAGCCCATAGCTTACACGAGGGTTCACTCTGCATGGTCCATTTTATGCCTTTTGACAGAGGTATAGCGCATACATCCATCATTTCCATACCACACAAAACAGTCTCACTGCCCTAAAACTCATCCCTATTTCTCACTCCCAACCCTTGGAAAGCACTGGTCTTTACTGACAAACTCTTTAAAAATTATTATACTTATTTTTTAATTGACAAATTAAAATCATATATATTTATGGTGTACAACATATTTTAAAATATGTATTATTTTGTAGAATGGCTAAATCCAGCGAATTAACATATCCCTTATTTCATATACCCATTTCTGTTCTGAGAATACTTGAAGTTACTCTCTTGGCAATTTTCAAGTATGCAATACCTTGCTGCTCATGACAGCCATGTATCTTGACCAGTATCTCTCCATTCCAACCCAGCACCATGCCTGTAACCATCATTCTATAGTCTCTCGATGAGTTCCATTTTTTTAGGTTTCACATAAGTGAGATTCTGTAGTATCTGTCTTTCTGCGCTGGCTTATTTTACTCAGAATAATGTCCTACAGGTTCATCCAGGTTGTTAACACAGGATTTCCTTTTTTTTTAACGCTGTCTTTCCATTGTGTATATATATATCATATTTTACTCAAATAATATTCAAATATTTAGACATTTTTATTAGTGAAGTGAACTACAGAAGACTGGAGGGCCGGGGATTCAGCTCAGTGATTCCACCACTTGCCTCGCAAATGCAAGGTCCTGAGTTCGATCCCCGGTACAAAAAAAAAAAAAAAGTAAAAATTTAATGGGCCAGGGATTTAGTTCAGTGGTTCTGCCTCCTGCCTCGCAAGCGCAAGGTCCCAAGTTTGATCCCTGGTACCAAAAAACAAAACAAAAAAAAGAAGACTGGAGACCACAGTTATCTCTCTTCTTACATCTTCATATACAACCTGAATTTCCCTCACATCCAAGTGACCTGGGGCTGCCAATTTCAGACTGCATGGGTCTGAATACTCTGCATACTCTACAAAACACCCAGCCACTGTCACATCTGCCATTCATTACTGACTCCACTCAGAAGACAGGCTGCAACAGGACAATTCCCACTTCTGGCAAGAAACATGACTGTTTTTAACAACTGTCCCAGTTCATTTCTGAAAACATGTCCTACCAGAGAATGTTCATACCAAAATAAATTCCTACTAGATGAAAGATTTTGATGTAGAGAATTAAAACAGAAAATGGAAAATAATAGAAGAAATACAAAAAATTATTTTATAATCCTAAAGGGGGAAAGTGACTCCAAGCCCAGAAATAAGAAATGAAAAAAACTAAATCTAATCACATTCTCTGTCCTTTAAGTTTCCAAGGCCAACAATTCTCAATTGGATGTATTACAGGTCTATCTGAATGAAAAAGTAGTATCTAACATTAGAAAGAATATCCCAAATTGAAAAGAATCCAAATTTCTCCTTCTCAAATCATCCATCTTGTTAAATTTCAAGAGCTAAAAATGCATCTGAGTACATCAACTTAAAAACAAAACCTCAGTTTACCTTTTTTAGTAAACCTTTCAACTTACCCATTATATGTTTCTGTATAACAAGATCAATAATCCGTAGACAGATATTCTCTAGTTGCTGTGTAATCTAAAGATAAATGACAAATACGTTTAAAATTCAGCATAATCCTCAAATTAATATATGTTAATATTCCAATAAAAATACCTACAGGACATTTTTGAAAGGGGAACTTGACCCCTCTCAAAAGTTAATTTTACTCTTCATGTGAAAAATTAAACATGCAAAAATACAAGAAAATTCCAAAATGTAGCCCAATGACAGGGACAGGGGTTAAATCCATAGTGAGTTGTTAAAGCTACTGTGAATTAAATTAGTTCCTTCTCATATACTTCATATCAAAATAAATTCCTACTAGATGAGAGAGATTTTGATGTAGAGAATTGAAACATAAAATAGAAAATAATAGAAGAAATACAAAAGTTTTATAATCTTGAAGAGGGAAAGTGACTGCAAACCCAGAAATAAGAAATTAAAAAAAATACGGGCCAGGGATTTAGCTCATTGGTACTGCGCCTGCCTCTCAAGCACAAGGTCCTGAGTTCAATCCCTGGTACTGAAAAAAGAAAAAAAAGAAATTTAAAAAACTAAACAATGTGATACCAAAAATTAGAAATTTCTGCTCAAGGCATGAGGAAGAGAAGACAAATGAAAAGTTGAGTGAAATATTATCAAATGGTATCACAAAGGTCAAATTCCCCTTACATCAAGCCAACAAAGGCAAAGGTTACAAAAAATAAATATGAACAAGGCTTAAGCTGATAAAAAGATGCTCACTAATACACAATAAGATTACAAATTCAAAATGCAGTATTACATTTTTAACCTATTAGACTGGCAGTGATCAGAAAGCATGGGGCTAGGAAGACCAAATTGTGGACAGTAAGCTAGTACACACTATGTAGGACAAGTGAGCAACATCCTTCGAGCCTCCTCATACATAGTGCCTGTGACCCACCAATTCTAACATCCAGACATATTCTTAACCTGTGCTAATGACATGCCAAAGGGCATCCATTACACCAGTACTTGTCATTGCAGCCAACTGTCCACTTAAACAAGGGACAGCTAAAACACATCCATTAACTGGGGAATGGTAATATAAATTTGACATATCATGCAAGAATATTATGCAGCCACTAAAAATACATTGTTTATCAACTGATACAGTGGGATTACCAAGATAAATAAGGATCACCAAGATTAAGTTAAAAATGGCAGCTAAGGGCCTAGGATTTAGCTCAGTAGTTCCAGCACCTGCCTCGCAAGTGCAAGGTCTCAAGTTCAATCCCCAGTACAAAAAAAAAATGGCAGCTAAAAGCTGCATGTAATATGTGGTTGTTGTCATGAAAAAATATAAACTCTACCTTTTAGGAAAAAAAACTTGATAAAAATTGCTACATTCTGAGAGGGGTAAAATGACTACAGAGTGATAAGGTAAAATTTCACTGAATATCATTTTATAACTTAAATTATTCAACATGTTTCTATTAAATATTTTTCAAATAAGTAATAGTTGTATCTTTCATGTAAATATCCTTTGAAGCATATTTTAATACTGTTTCAATTTTTTGTATTTTTAAATTTTTAATTGACACGTAATAATTGTACATATTTGTAGGGTGTAGTTTCATAATACATGTTAAAAAGCTGTTAAAATTCAAATAATCCAAAATTTTCCAACTTAAAAAACTGCGAATATTACTCACACAACCATTAGATTAAAATGTACATGCTTTTAAAAAATGCACTTGCTTATCACCCAGTCTAATTTCCAACTTTGCTCTTCAAACATTAAGTACCTGCACATGTTTTCATACACATGTAGTTTTTCCTCTTAAGGAAATACTATTTTTGAAGTTTGCTTGTAATGAATCAAAGTTCCAAATTAAAGGAGGGCATCAGGAGCCAAAGATTCCAGGTGGTTTTGTCTTTAATTATCCACTGGGAAAATTGGGAAAATTATTTAGCTGAAGGTTTTAAGTGTTCTCATCTTTGGGTACGAAACCCAGATTCAATTAGTGTTTCTCTATTTTAACCCATTTCTCCCTTGGTAATCACAGTAACTTCACATGCTCCATTACCATTTGACATTCAAAATAAATATCAAGAGCAAAAAATTTTTTAAAAAAGATAAAATGCTATTATGATTTTAAACTAATCCTGCAGCTAATTCTCCTACTCACACCCCCAACACACTAGGTAAAATGGACCAGATGATTCCTAAGACTTCTTTAAATTTAAAATATAAGTTCCAAATATATAAGGTAAAAGAATACTGTTAAGTTACTTGTAATTTTATTTGGAATGTCTTACTGTTAGAAGACCACAGAATTTCAACATGGAAGGATATAAAAATAAAATAAAAAATAATAAAATAATTAATATGGGAAAAATTTCACATTAATCCCTTTGGGTCCAAGAGAAGACTACTGAACCATCTGTAAGAACCAAGCAATCTCCCACTGGTAACTGATAAACACAGCACATGTCAACAGCCATGTGGTTTAATAATTTATTTAAAGAATTTGCACCTGCTTCCTAAGACCTCGCCACAGAAAGCCAAACAAGTCAACCTGGGCTCACAGAAGTAGTGAACAAAATCTAATTTGAGGTAAGGTCATGTTATACTTGGCAAGAACTGCAGGTCGTAAGTAGGAAAAAAATGATACATTATCAGAATAAGCAGACTATAAACTAAAATGTATATCTTACTAGCTCTCTGATTGCCAACAGATCTCCTGAACTGACCTGAACCTTGTTTTCCACTTTTGCACAAGGACATCATGGCTACCTGTTCTCTCTCAGTGGCATTAATAAGATCACATCAGCACTGTGACAGCACTGCATAAATGTCTGTACATTCTTATTCCAACACTATTCAAGAATTTGGTTTATGAAGCTCTTGCCCTTATTCCCTTCTGGTCTTGTGCTACCACTACTACGTGTTACATCAGAATGCTGTCCTTTTACAGGTAAACTGGACTGTCCACTTGAGTGGCTTGGGAGCTGCCCAGAAACGGGTAAAACCCACTTGAGGCTGTGTCTGGGTGGGTCATGACCTTGGGTCTACGTCTGCTCCCTGGCCCTTTCCTCTCTGGCACTGCCTTGTCTGCTTCCCAGCTGCCAGGAACTAAGCAACTTTGCTCCACCACATCGTTTGCCTATGATGCTCCTGCCTTGGAGCCAGCCAACCACGGACTGAAAACCCTAAAACCATGAGCCAAATGAAACCTCTCCTCCTTTAAGTTGTGGGTGTCAGGTACTTTGTCCAGCAACAAAAAAGCTGACTAATACAGAGTGTCACTGTGACTGAATGACTGTCACTCTACCAAGAAAATTAGACTGTGGGTTCCCAGAAGGCAGGGATGGCATTTGATAGTCCCCCAAAACCTAGCCTGGACACAAAAGAACTGAACCGTTTAATACAAAAGGATATACTATGTAAATACACATGTAATAGTTCCCCTTAATCATTTTAAAACGTTTCTTTAAAATTTGAGAGCAATTTTTAAAGCCTAGCACCAAAAGTAAGGAGCAATTTAAAGGCCAAGACTTGGCAGGCATGGCGGTGCATACCTATAATCCTGGCACTCAAGGAGGCTAAGGCAGGAGGATTGCAACTTTGAGTCCAGCATGGGCAACTCAGCAACTCAGTCCAATTCTGTCTCAGAAAAGGACTGGTGATGTGGGTCAGTGCGAAGGCCCTGTGCTCAATCCCCAGTAGAGGAAGGGAAAAGCAGCAGCAGCCAAAACTTTAAAATTCATGCCTACTGGTCATATAAAGTTCAGTTAATATTACTATTATATCATAATAAAACAGAAATCTCACCTCTTTATGATCTTCTACAACTGTTAAAATAGTATCAATAGTATGTAAAATTCCCATTGCCATCACTGTTTTGTCTTCAACTTCTTCATATTCATCACTCTGAAGAACTTTGCCAAATATCTCAGCCTATGAAAATCACATTAAAATATTCATTTAGTTAAACTCCTTCCCACTATAAAAGTTAATAAAAGGAAATATCACACATCTAAATGTCAACACTGTTCAAACATTAAGCTCTGCACTTTGCTGAATGTTTTTTCTTACAATCACAGAACCTGTCACGTCTTAAACACAACTGTCTTTCCTTTTCTAATCACCAGGGTAGAAGATCCATTAGCAATTACAACCATTGCCTAATATTTAACTTCTGGTTGTTATTAAACAAAAATCAAAATCTTAGAAAAAAAAACTCAATACCAAAAAGAAAAATGTAATAGAAGATTTAAAAAAGGTCACCTAGAAAACAAAACATGAAGAACAGGCCTGGAAAGGGTGTTGGGCTAAGGAAACTAGAGACTCAGTCCAGCTCTGATATTCCATATTTGGAAATATAGAATGGGGGAAAAAGTATGGAGAAATTTATTAAAGATGTAATATAAAATTTGCTCTAAACTAAAGGAAATGAGATTGCGAATTCAAAGTCCAGAAAGAGAAAATTTAGAAGGCTTATATCAAGGCACACCACTATGAAATCTCAGAATATTATAGATGAAAAGAGATCGACTGAATGTTATTACATGTAAGTCTAATTACGTACAAGAATATCAGTCATTACAGTAAAACTTTTTATATTAATATTATAAGTAAAACAGAACTCTAAATTTTGGAGTTTAATTTACTTAGCTCATTAAAACCTTCTATACCAAACTAACATAAAATTCTGCCCAGTCTTCAACTTTTTAAGACTTTGACTCTAAAGTTTTAAAAGGGCTGGGGATTAGCAAAGTGGCAGAATGCTTGCCTAACATATAGGAGAACCTTGGTTCAATCCCTAGAACTTAACATAATAAAATAATTTATGTCAGTCTTACCAAGTGTTGGGTCATGTCGACAGCAAATGATGCTACCTCCTGACTATATTCGCATATCATCTTTTGGATGACATTAGTAACATCATCATTTTCTGTCTCTCTGACAATGTGCAACAGCTCCTGCATAATGGGCCTCACATGTGGCTTCATATATTCCTTAGCTAATGCAATAAAACAAAATTAGTGAAAAATATCTATGCACAGATGGTGAAAGGAACGATCTCAGGCACAAGGCCAAGGGACACAGGTTAATACCCACAGAGAATTCTAGCTGCCAACTTGCCCTGCAGGGAATAAATAATACGGTAGCACTAAATAATGCCCACTCCTGTAAGGGTGTCCCACACATAACCCAGATAAGCAGTTCTGCACATGAAAGGACTGTTCTGCTCCAAATGCCATGGTCCCTCAGAGAAATTCTAATTATACATGTGCTCTTTCATCAGTCTGACTTGGAGAACATGAATATTATGATATCAAACATAAACAATGAGAAACACATCCAACACTGATGGGCCCTATAGCCTGCCCTAACCCATCTCTACTGTCCCTCCTCCCAGCACATCTGTTTACAACATCCAGTCCGTCCACTGAAACACTGCTGAATAGAGGTAAACAAGGCTTGTATTCTTCATAAAGCTGGAATTATCTGCAGAGGTTTATCTGAACTTTGAACAGAACATTCTTTTAAGCAAATAAATGAATCATCTATGCTATTATTCTCTAGAAAGATTGCTACTTTCAGAACTGATAGAAGCATAGCATCCTGGAGTTGAAAGGCATCATGAAGCCATCTTGTCAACCCGCACAATGTAAATACAGACATATGCTTCACCTGACCTAACACGGCAAATCAGCAGGATCAAAAGTGGACCCAAGGCATTTAATTTCTAGCCAACCCCACTGCACACCAGTCACTAACTTGTTTCCTTCTCAATTTTTTCTAGAAACCACAATCAATAGGAATTCCTAAAAAAGAGCAAGAATAAACTCTTAAAAAGTTCTAAGGAGATAAAAGCCCACCTTCCTCAGGGAAGGAAGTAAATGAATTAAGAAGATCATTCCAAAATATAAAAAATAAACCCCCTAAGCAGTGCTTTGGTTTACCTTGTATCTGGTTAGAAATTAATGACTGGAGGGCGAGGGCAGCCTCAACTTTGACAGGCATCTCCTTATCTTCAATCAGGCTCTTCTTTGCCAATTCCACAGCAGTTCTCAGGTTGAGCTCATTATGAAACTTCAAAGAACTAAATGCATGAAGCACCCAGCAGGACTATGAAAAGAAAAGTAGGAAGCTACTGGGATTGTGGCATTCTGCAATAATGTCACATATATGAGAACTTCTTAAGGAAACATATTTATGTCAATAATTACCTTACAGATGAAGGCTTTAAGACATATAACAAATGCGTGGAAAACTTACTCTAGCTCGAAGATATCCCAGGTTAGACAGTAATAGTGGAAACACATGGTTCTGTAGAAATAACTCAATTTGGTCCTTGAATAAACTTTTCTGTCAGGAAAAAGAAAGTTCAGCTTATCAAAGCGTTTTTCATATGTCAGAATCATTTCCTAATAAAGATTTCCATTTAATATACTTCTATCACAATTCTTTAGATCAATTTGATACTGATTTTTGTAGAAATAAGAACACTAATGTTATTTTGTATCCTTTTTACACAGCACTAGTTTCATACTGAAAAATCGACAGATCAAAGCCAAATTTTCTTTTCAATTAAAGAAACAGGCAAGAGGAAGAATATTTACAGTCAATAAATCATCCAGAAGTAGTCTCCAGTTTTGTTTTGTTTTGTTTTGTTTTTTCTGGTACCAAACTCAGGACCTTGTGCTTGCGAGACAGGTGCAGCACCACTGAGCTAAATCCCCGGCCCTCCAGTTTTAAATTATCCACAACTTTCATACATTTATTTGCCCGTGCTTCACAGTTTTATTAAATAAATTAAATTTTGATAATCTTAACCTTCAATAAAATCTCCGCCAAGGAACCAATCACATGCAAGGCCCCATCTTTCTTCCTAGGGTCAAAGTTCGGGTCTGTGAGGATTTGGTAACAGAACGCCATCATTTTTGGCAACACCTAAAGAAATGGAAGAATCCATTTTCAAAAGTAAAGCCATTTTAATGTGGTTTTTTTTACGCAACTATAAGCTCAGTAAGGACAATTTATTAAGAAAATACAATAAAAGATACTTCACCTTTTTCCTTTAACACGGAAAAAGTTCTTAAAAGTAACAAGTTATAACTATTAACAATATGACTTTTCAAATACTACAAACACAGAATATCAAATCAACACAGGTCATCTTTTAGTCTGCATTTTAAGAAGGTAACTACGTACCTCTTTCCTTTTCTTTGCAGCAGTATATAGAAGAGTCTGGGCTGCTGTAGTGGGAGAAGCATAATCTTCAAAAATATCTAAGATTGCAAAAAGTTAAACCATGTTAGTAAAAATATAGTTAATTATCATACAGATTTTAACCCTAACTGACCATCACTCACACCAAGGAACACATCAGGCCACATGAGGCTGGTTCACAGTGGAGAGCAGCTGTGGACATCTCAGCAGAGCGCTCATGCACAGAGGTGCTGCTCAAACTCTCAGGTGTCATTTGAAAAACTGGTGAGAGAGGACTTTCAGAAGGGCTTCAGAAAGTGGCAAGAGTGATGGGGTAAGTATGTTCTAAATAAGGGGGAGTATAATAAGGGGGAATTAACGGTAATGGCATTGTTGTATTACAAATGTATTACATTTGTTTTAATTTAAACATTCACTGTGTATTTTGACAGTACCTCTGTACCAGACAGCAAACTATGATTTTTACAGCACAAGCTTATATTATGATTTTAGTTACTATGTATTGTCTTATTCAATCCTCCCAATATCATTATCATTATCATTACCTGTCTATTTGGGCTTTTTTTTTGGTACCGGGGATCGAACTCGGGACCTTGTGCTTGCAAGGCAGGCGCCTGAACCACTGAGTTAAATCCCTGGCCCATCATTACCTGTTTTATAGCTAAGATACTACATCTTAGAGAGGTTACATAACCTGCCCAGCATTATACAAGTAAATGGCTACGCCGGCAATCATATTCAGGCCAACTTAACATCAAAGCCTGAACTCTTTGTCAGTTTTTACCAAATCATAGTACTATTAGGGAAAATGGTGAAATTTATCAAAGGGTATAATAAAAAGAAAGAATAAATAAAATAATACTATTAAATAAAATAATACTATTAATATCAATATGCATATTGTCTTACACACATTAATTTATGCAATAGATAATATGCATGTTGTCTTTGTATACATAATTGCAAACAACAGAAATATAAAAATACAGTAATTATTCTTTCCTATAATTACTCATAAGCAAATACACACATCAAACAATGCTTACTGCATTCTAGTCCAAAAAAGGAAATGATTAAGAAAAACGCAAACTAGATAGTCTTGATTTACTCATATTCTCTTTTAAACAGTCAATAAAATGTAAATTCCCACTGTTAATACAGAAAACTTTTAATTACTCCATTTTTTAAAAACTGAGATACTACATTATCAGATATGGTAAGTGAAACAGTGGGAGTTTCCTGGAAGCTAAACACACACACAGATACTAGGAAAAAGATAAAACACTAACACAATGCCTTACAGACACGAAAAACTTAGCTCATGATTCTGCTCTGTCAAAGCAAACTAGGAAAACAGAGGCATGAGGAAAGGAAAATAATAAATTTTGCACGAGAAATTATTTTCTAAAGAAAAAGGTAGAATGGAGAGATAAAGCAGATAGTGAATGCTATTACCCATTCATTTGCCTTTCCTGCACTTATTGTCCCCAGAAGAGGCGCCTCCTCACTTACTGAGTCAGGTCACACAAAGCACTCGAAGAGTACTATCCCATAACCTGGCATCCACACCAACGGATTTAACTCAGACAGGTGGAGGCATCAGGCTCCAAGGGACAGCACTGCTCTGTCACAGTGCCTTGGGCATGCCTTAGTTACAGTTCCAGCAATCATTTCAACATTTTTTGAAGGCACTCTAGGGAGGAATACGAAGGAAGAAAAGAAAGAAAAAGAATGCAAAATAAAGCAAATTAAAGTTCCTGCTCTCTGACAGCTTCTAACTGTAGAAGAGCCAGAAGTACACAAATTAACGTTTTGCTATTACTGGGGTTAAAAGGAAATGACTCAGATAACCCATGTAGTAGTTCAACAGCTCTAGGAAGATGCAAGCTAAAAGGACCCCCAGAGACACTGCATACAGCCACGGAGAGAAATCAAATTCCCTTGTGGGATAGTTTGTTCACAGGAAAAGAAGAATTGGGATCCACAGAGTTGAAAGCAACCTGATCTACAATGGAGAATCCCACAAGCACAGGAAAGCCTGGTCCCTGCAGATCTGCACCACAGCAAAGTAATCAATGGCTCCATGAGTGCTTCAGCCCCCAGAAGGAAGGAGTAGGTGGCTCTTCCTCTCTGACATCCACAGGCCTCAGGTTCTTTGGTTCAAAAGAACATCAAACTCATGAGTTCCAAGAGTTTATCATGTAAAACAGAACTTTGGGAATTTAGTGAATAAAACCAGCTTAAAATTATACATTTAGTTATATGACTTCACATATCTGGGAATGAACAAATAAAATAAACCATCTCTATTACCAAATTTCATCCTTATGTATTCGTATGGATCTTCTTGCCATAGCTCCTCATCTTCATCTTTATAGCACATCACAGAAAAAATCACGTCTTCAGAGATTTCCTAAGATGAGAAACAAAACAACAAATGGCACAAAGGGTACAGACTATTGAAACTTGGGGACTGCCAACATGTATTTATGGACAACATTTATGGTGTGAGTTTTCCACTTATTTTAATGCTTCTTTTAAGCCTGAATGCACTACAGTGACAGTGGAAGAGCAAGAGCCCCTGAGAGGGCATGGCATTGAAGAGTTACAGTACTCTTTTTGAACAGCAGGTGATTAAAAGCACAGAGAAAGAGACCATGTAAACACTATTCTTTGAAGCAACAACAGGGATAATAAAGTTTTACTAACAATTCAACATTAAACAGATGTTGAGTTCCTTAAAGAAGAAAATATCAACTCAGAATTATATTTACTGTTAGATTTCTTATTTTTAAAATTTCTAACATTTCCATTTTGGTTGTAAATGCCAATATATGAGCAATATTAAATTTTTTTTTAAATATAGAATACGTCATGAATTTGCATGTCATCCTTGCACAGGGGCCATGCTAATCTTCTCTGTCTTATTCCAATTTTAGTACATGTGCTGCCAAAGTAAGTACTAAAATTTAATTTTCTTTTTCCATTTTCAAAAAACTACTTGACAACAGTGCGCTTCAGGGAAAAAATTCCTAGCCAGCCGTCCCTCTGTACACTGCCACCAACGTTCCATAGGCCCTCTATGCTCTAGTAACTACTTATATAAAAACAGGAGTGTCTTTTATTGTTTACTCAAATTGAATAATTCTAAGAAAAAAAAGTCAACCTAAGGGTTGCTTTCTTATTCCTACATCACAGCCATGTAGAAATAAGGCCAAAGATATCAAGTGGAGAACAAACACTATCACTACTCATTCTTACTTTACAGAGATACAGGAAATAAACTCAGTATTTTATTAACTGCATAGAATTACTATTAGATCAAAGTGAGTAGGCAAACAGTTATTAAGATGTTCACAAAAACAAAATAAAGAGATATTATATCTGTCAGATCTTTAATAAAATAACACTAGCCAAACTCTACCCACATACCAAAGGCAAAGGGAAAGAATTTTTCTTGTCACATACCATCTTACAGAATTTAAGAACTTACATTTTAGAGAAGATTCAGATCTTAAATGGCCTATAATTTTCCATTCTCTATTTCTTTAAATAGCAATACTGAATTCTATCTTTAAGTAAACAGTTGGTATAAAAAAAGAAAATTTTTAATTTCTGCTATAGAACTTAATTGTCTAAAGAAAGGCATAGAAACTTTTTTGCTCATACCTACAGAAGAAAATGGTCATGTATCAGATATCATTTTCTGCAAAATACCACCTTAGTGAGGCCCCACTGACAGTTTTCAAAATTCTTTCAAAATTCTTCATTTAATCCTAGCAACCTTTCGATAAGGGTAGAAAAATACTACATGCCTTAACAGAAAACAAACAGGCCAAACGAGATTTCAAACATGATCAACTGAATCCAAGTCTTTCCACTCACAGAATCATCTCAAAGCTTAAATTCCCAAGCCTTTCATATCAGACAGAAAACTACTCATTAGAAGTTATTAACAGAAATAAAATTATATTAAGCATAAAATATAAGATTGGAAGTACTTATATCTAGAAAACCTAATTGAACAGAGGGATAATTTTGGAAAGCTGCTGTCTGTACACTACCTGTATGTGTGGCTTCATCTGTTTCCAGGTTACAGAATGCACAACCCCTTGGTTGAGGTAATTGAATGCTTGCTGAAGAACACGGGGTGCAATGTATTCTTTCTGTCTATATTGATCTAAAATTTTTAGTAGCACCTACAGGAAAATAGGAAGAAAAAGATAAGAGAATAATTATAAGGTTAAAAGAAGTAGGGAACATTTTAAGCATGATATAAAATCCAGACAGAGATAAAAATTAACAGATTTTGAGGGAAGTCAGTATTTTGTGAGAAAGCTCACATGGTACTTTTAATATATGTCCCTGTTATACTGAGCTAAGGGTATCTTATCACAGTTTCTAGGTATGTGTCCTGTCTGACTTGTCGAACTACTCAAGAAAAATCTAAATTCTATTCTACTTCTAGCTCTCCAGAATAAAGTAAGTCTCCTGTTTTTAAAAATGACAGATGTGATTGAATAAACATTTAAAAACTTCCATATAGGACCAGGGATTTAGCTCAGTGGTTTCACCACCTGCTGCACAAGAGCAAGGACCTGAGTTCAATCCCCGGTACCAAAAAATAAAAATATTTTAAAAAATAAAAAAATAAAAACTTCCACATAGCAAGAGACAGAACAGATTTTATTACTTGATACAAAAGATTCTTTCAGATTGAAGAGAAATGTTATTTTAAAAAACTGTACTTGTACCACTGATTAGCCCTCTGAAAAAAAGTTAAATTAGATCCCTAATTAAACTTCATACCCAAATAAACTCCAGATGGAAAAATATTTCAAAAACAACAAAATCATAATAGTTCTTAGAAGAAAACATTGGAGAATTTTACTTTATAATCTCAGACCACAGAAGTTCTCTGTAAACATCCAACAAGTGAGGAGTTCTCTTTCTCTAAGGCTGACTAAGCAGCTGTGTATAAGGAGAGAGCCACACACAGGAGCACAGTGTGGGCCAGAGGCCATCAGGTAGAGGCAGTGCTACTGCACAGCCCAAACCCTAGTCTCCAGCACTTCGCTGCCTCAGAGAACTGCCAAATCTTTCAAAATACATACAAAATTTTATAAATTCAGAATATGAATTGTACTCAAGTAACATTTATTCGGGTTTACAAGATTTGTTAGAAGTCCTACGATCACCTAGAAACTCCTTCCTCAATGAATTCTAAAAAATAATACCGACCATCACTCTTCCTAGCACAGGTGTGGCTCACACAAAGTGGAGAACAAAAAGTAGCTCACACAAAGTGGAATGAACAATTCTTCACAAGAAAACTATTTTTAAGTATCAGAAACCTTTATCTTAAATAGCCAAGTACAAAGGATTTGTGACAAGGATACAATGGCATGAGATTTATTTTTAAATATATGTTTATATGATACTAGAAAAATCCTACTGAACACACTTCAAATGGACATCAACCTTGGATGCTTAATGGAATTTCACAACCGCAGAGGAACAGAAAACAGGGCTCATAGGCTCCCTGATTATCTTGGTATCCACAGTGAATTACTAAATAGATCATTTTATTCACTATTCACTAATTTTCCCTAATGATTTGTCCTTTGGACCAACAAAATAATTGTGAGGAAATTATAGCTAGTTTTCCTGAATTGTACCATAGTACTTTTTAGACGTGTTCTAGTAGCCAAAATGATGGTCCATAAACAGAAATACTCCACCCTAAGGTGCCAGGCTAAATGTACTTAACTTTGTATCACTGACAATAAAGATGTGTGAAAACCCCAAAATACTCCTTTATCATTAAAGCCATTGCCTATGTCTAATTAATCTTGGTCCTGGTACAGCAGGTAGTTAATAATTAAGTTTTGTTTAAATATAAACAAAAATATCATGATCCAAATGGCAACACTCCTCTATAGTTTTGAACATCTTTAAATATTTGTATTAACTTAAGTTTCTCAAGAACTCCTAATTTTCACTAGGGAAACATTTCACAATGTTTCCCAAATTCTGTACTTACACACATGTGTAAGTTTTGTTTTTGTTTTTTGGGAGTTGTTTTTTTTTCTTTTTTTGTAATGCTGGAGATTGAACCTAAGATCTCACACATGCTAGGCAAGAGCTCTATCACTGTGCTACATTTTCAACCCTTTTTTTATTTTGAGATAAGATCTCACTAAAGTGCCATGGCTGGGCTCAAACTTGTGATACTCCTACCTCAGCCTCCCAAGTAGTTGGATTACAGGAGTGTCACAGCAAGCAGCTTAAGATGCATCAATTCTCAGTTGAGAGTCTTAACATCTAAGCTCAACTACTCTTAAAAGAGATCAATTCATGTTATATAAAACTTTTAAGATAAAAGTATAGACAGAGGTGAAGCTCCTAGCTTCTTGGGACACTGAGACAGGAGGATCAGTTTGAGGCCACTTGGGAAACTCAGTAAAATACTGTCACCAAAAAATGGTAATAATAAATATAATAAAATAAAATACTGCCTATGCAGCTTAGTAGCAGAGCAGGCACAACCCTTAGACTCTATCCTTAGTACTGCAAGAAAAAAAAAAAAAAGAAAGAAAGAGGCAAAGCTCAGAGACATAAAAGTTTAAAGAAACTTGTAAGAGGTCAGAGAGTTCACAGGAGAACCCAATCTAACCTAACCCCATTTCTGCAACTTAGAAGGTCTGGGCCACAGTCTAGCAGTCAAGCATAGGCAGTCCTGGGGCAGCTCCCTTGCGACGTTTGATAATAGAACTAATTGCACTGTATTGGTTCCCAGAGCAGCCATTTCATCCTCTACAAATGTGTAATGAAGTAATGTGTTTGTGATCTACTTTTTTGTTTGTTTTGTTTTGTTTTTGGTACCAAAGATCAGACCTTGCGCTTGTGAGGCAGGCGGCAGCACCACTGAGCTACATCCCCTGCCCTGTGATCTATTTTTAAAGTCATAGAAATGGCTTAACTACCTCTTCAGCAATAATCATGCTTCTCTTCCAAAAGCATATGTGTATTACCTGCTGAATTCCCACTGCATAGGTTTTCAAAAAGAATTCAGAAAATTCAAAGTATTCTTTTGTGACATTTCCTGGGCTTCCATACCTTAAAATTCAAAGATAAAATGTTTAAAATGTGAAATTTTAAAACAAACCGTGCTCACTCATTTAAATTAATCATTAAAAGACATATTTTCTTGGGGCAGAAAACTAACATTTTACCCTTTTTCAAAGCCACAAAATGAACTCATGGGGAGCTATACTTATGGCTATGTATTTACGTACTTAGGACCTAACTATACTTACACATTTCACACAAAAACATTGCTTTCTAAACCAAGAGGCCCTAAAGGACCAATATCAAGAATGAAAATGCTGTATCTAACATGGAACAGATTTCTTTCAATAAATGCTTTTAAAATTAAGATTTTTCTTAAGGAGCTAGTGGCCTTGCACCTTCTTGCATAATTCCTGGATATTTCCAATGGACTGACTTGTTATTTTTCCATATTTTCATATAGAAAAATAGAAAAGATAGAAAGCTGCCCACCTCATCATCTCAAAACCAATGATCACAAGCCACTTTAAACAGAAAGTGACTCCTTCCCCTCTACAGCTTTAAAGAAAAATAATCATATACTGCAGTGCAACAAGAGAGCTATTCAGTTTTATCATCCACAGTCCTGAGTTAATATAATAAATATAATAAAGAATTACCGCTCAAAAAGACGAGCTACAATATGCAGTGCCCACTTCTTACACTTCCACCACACCAGTTCTGGTCTATCATCCTCGTCAATCTGCAGCGTCTCCTAAGACAATGAAAAACACCAGATCAAATTTCTACACAAAAACAATTTATGTGAATAACAAAAGTAAAATAAATATTTGTACAGATTAAGTACTATTAAATATGAGGCTAGATTGCTATGCAAATGCAGATTCTCACTTTACAGACACTATGTAGCAAATTTCAACTAACCAATGCTGCTCTTCACTTTATCTCCTATCTTCAAAAGGATCAAATAAGTAGAAAACAAAATACAAACACCACAGTCCCTTAATGACACTCTCTGAGATGAGGAAACAGTTCTACATTTTGATGTAAGCACCAGTAACTCAATGTTATCAAAATTCACTGGACCATTTACCAAATTTTGTGTATTTATGTATGTACCTTAAACCTTCACTTTGTTTCAAGAAAACCCACAATGGGGTTGGCGGTGTAGCTCAGTAGTAGAGAGCGCTTAGCCCTCGGTTCAATCCCTGGTTTCCAAAAGAAAAAAAAACTACCTTTTAAGGTTGGCTTAAATTTTAAATATGAAATACAAATGAGAAATACAGTGAATGTTTATATTTTTTAAGATACATTACAGTAAAAGGCACATCACCTTTAATCTCTCTCAAAATGCAACCCCTCATTTCAGACACACTTATCCCATCGTTCCTGCCACTTTCTGAAATAGTCCTGCAAGTCCTCTTTCACGAGTGTCTTTTAATTGTGATGTCCTGGCTGCCTTGATGCCCTGAATCGATTCAAAATGTTTCTCTTTCATGGTCATTTTGACTTTGGGGGCAAGCAAAAGGTTGCACAGTACCAGATCCAGGGAATGAGGTGGATGAGGACACTGTAGTGTTTGTACAACCCCACCTTCTGGTGGATGGCACTCAACAGCAGTGTTCACTGTATTTATCACAGCTCATAAAGACACAAATGAGGACTTCCAGAAGTGCTTCAGAAAGTGGCAAGAATGATGGGATAGATGTATTCAAACCCAATGGGGAGTTCTGAGGGAAATTAATGGCAATGTGTCTTTTACTATAAAATTTTAACTTAAGCATTCACCATATTCTTCAATCACCCCTTGTATGTAAGTTAATTTAATAAATGAAAAACAATATCATTACTGCAGATAAAAATGAGAAACTATCTTTTACCTAAGAAATAGGCAAACCTAGAATTAAGTGTATACTTATGACAGCATCCTCAATCACTGCCCATTAAAGTATAGTTCTAGGCATTTACCCAAAGAAAATAATCTAATCATGTATGTGCACAAAAATTTATAAACATCCCTAGAGTTAAAACCCTGAAAAATTAAAAACCTAAACATCCAGCAAATGAAGCATCTGATAAAAATGACAATGTATAAAAAATATGAAAATGTTCATCTTAGATGAAAAATGAACTTCGAGATACCTACATGTACTGTATCTACATGTACTATTTTTACAAATATTATATATAAATGCAGAGAAAAGAGACTAGAGGAGAAATTATTGTCTTAAAATTATTTTTCCACTTTAGTAGGAATATATTCATTTTTTTTAACTTTTGCCTATCTAAGCTTACTAAAAATGAGTACAGTATTATTATTTTATTAATTAGTTTTGTTAAAGTCGGAATTGTTTTTTGAATAGCAGGCTGGGGTGATGAAGTCTACCCTACCATGGCTCACCACCTGCTTGGTGGTACAGTGCTCGCTAAACCATGCACGAGGTTCTTAGAAGAGGGCCCCAAACCCAAGTTTCCCAGGCCTCTCAAGGAAGAGAAAAAAGCCCTGCCTCACCGGGGGCACTGTCCGGTCAATGATGGTTCGGAAGATCTCCATCCATGTCGTCATTGTTTGGTTATTCACCAGTTGAAGAGGCAATGCATACTACAAAACAGAACAGCACAATCGTTTCTCCTCTCCATGAACTTGGTGATTTTATCTATATTAGAGTGTTAAGTATATAGAATAACTAATGTTTGAGCATAAAAATAATAATTTCATGATTTAACTTAAAATTTAACTTAAATCCATACACATATATATTTTAACTTCTAAAACTCAGACATATATATGCTATGATTTGTTTCTCTGGGCTTTTTAAAATGAAAAATATTTTTAATGAAATTCTCATTATTCTGCATGAGATTGTGGTGAGTGATTTTTACCATTTACTCCTCTATCAAACTGTTCATTTTAACCACTTTGATGAAAACCCTCACTTTATTAAACACTCACGAGACCCCTTCTCCACTACTTTCCTCTGCACTGTGGCATCGTAAGCACAGTCTGTACTGCACATGCACACACCTCCTCCCCTGCTGCAAGTGACAAGAGAGGACTGGGGGGCCCACCCCACTCATTCCACGTGTGCTTGCTGCACACTGAAGACCTAACAGTGAGCTAGTCAGACACAGTCGGTGCCCCCACAAGGCTTACACCCCAGAGCTGGAAGAAAAACCACATAGAAGCACAAAGGGAAGGAATGGTAAAAGATAAAGGCAGAGGGCCAAGCGTTATGGGTTAAGAAGTTTACAGTCCATTCCAAGTGCCCTGGGAGAGGCATCTGAACTTGAGATAAAATTCAGAGGAGCAGGCTGAGGGATAGGAAGAAAGGGGCAATTTCTGAGATAAGTATGAAATATCCAAGAGTCATGTACAGATAAATGCTACACAGACAGAATCAATCTCACTTCTCAGACTTTTTCTGGTACCTGGGATTGAACTCATGACCTTGCGGTTTTGAGGCAGGTGCAGTGCCACTGAGCTAAATTCCTGGCCCGACTTCTCAGACTTTTAGAAACAATTCCTCCACCTCTTCTTATACTGCTCCATGTTTTACTTACATTATCAGTATAATGGGGTCTCTTATAGCTTTTTAAATTATTGCTTTCAGAGGATTGGTGCATAAGAGATTACCAAAATAGTTTCATATGTTGTGGGTTTTTCATTGTTTTTTATAGGTTTTTAGCATATATATAATAGGTTGAGAGAAAAATTTTAGAGTTTGGCTTTTTAGCAGACCAAGTAGAGGAAGAGGCTTTAAAACAATTACTTCCTCAGCCTTTGTCTTTATTGCCTGATTCCCAGCTATCTTTCTCCCAAAAAAAAAGGCAAGTCTGGCCCTAGATAAATGGACCACTTCTGCACCTCATGGCCGAACATCTTGCTGAATAAAAACTTTGCCTCAGGGTAAAGCAATCCTCCTGAGGACAATTTCTAAATATCGCTTTCATAAAGGAACCATACATCTTCCTTATTTTTTTTAAAAAAGATGGGGCAATATATTTTCCTAGTACAGTGGACCCTCGAGTTACGACTGGCCTGACATACAAACAACTCGGGTTACAACCAGAATTTTAGTTTTAACTTACAAAAAAAGTCGAGTGACAAGCCGGATGCTGGCCCCTTGTGCTGAGATGGTCTCAGATGCAGATTGAACCCTTGAAGAGTTCTGGGAGGAACATGACAACATCCTTTCCCGTGTGGGGTTAAGTGAGAAATCCTAGGCCAATATCTAAGGACACTGAGATCTGCCTGTATCCAGGAGAGAGATGATGAAGGCTGTACAGAGGAGCCTGAGCCTTCATGGACCACCTTGAGTTACAACCAGCCCTCGAGAATAAATTGAGTTTGTAAGTTCGCAGTCCACTGTAGTCTACTTTCTTCTGTCAGATTTGCCTCCTTCCAAAAGGCTGACCTGTGGGCCTGGGATTTAGCTCAGTGGTTCCGGCGCCTGCCTCTCAAGTGCAAGGTCCCGAGTTCAATCCCAAGTACCAAAAACAAAAAGGCTGACCTGAAAAAAAATATTGCTTAGATTATCTCTATTAAAAGTTTAAAAGATGAAGAAGATGAGACTTTAGGTACGCAAAGGTACCTAAGTGAAAGCATAGAACAGATCTAAACAATCTCAACTTTCTAACTGAACAAAGCTATCCTTTTGGCAAAAGGAATTTAAATAGAAAATATGTGAGTTCTGATGTACTCATTCTCAAATGATTTAGGCTGATAACCAATTACTCTTCCTAATCCAGACCTAAATAATTCACCAAGTCCTTTAAGAATTCAATGTTAAATATCTTTGCTTTTCAAACATATTATCTCTATCTTCTAAGTATTTTCGATTCTCATGTTAGTAGCTATCATAGTTTTCAGATAAGAAAAGAAGATATTTTAATCAAGGAAAATAAGACACTAAACCTTCTTTGTTAGCTTTAGGTTGGATGGAAGACAGAGAAACTGTTATCAATATGATTTCCCAATAAAAAAAGACTCCTTCCTTTTCTCCTATAATGTGTGTCATCATGCAACTTAAGCTGTGTAAACAACACAGAGTGTACTTTCATAAAGTGAAATTAGCTGTAACATCACTAGTTATGTAGCCTGACGGATGCTTGGAACAAGTAATTCAGACACAGGTTTTGCTTTTTTTTTAACTTTCTTCCTTATTTTTTTTGGTACCAGGGATTGAACTTGGGACCTTGCACTTGCGAGCCAGGTGCTGGAACCACTAAGCTAAATCCCTGGCCCCAGACACAGCTTTTAAGGCAAGTAATCCTGGTTCATGTTCACCCAAGACTTCATACACACTGAGGTGACAGCATAGACTTTGAATCTCTCCTCTGCTGCCCAAAACACTGAGCAATTAATTTCTGTGAATATCATAAAGGTTTTTTTAAAGAAATATCTATGAAAAGATACAATTTTTAATAATAATTGACAAGTACTGAGCATTTTTGATGTGTCAGGTAAAAATATAAGGCTCATGTCTGTTTTTGGAATAGAAACTCACCTGAACAAGTGCATAAAAGATCTTCAGAATCTGTTTCTGTAGTAACACAGAATAATGGGAGGAATCCGGAAGGAGTTGCATGATCTGTTGCTGAATACGTGGCAGAAATATCTGCATTGCTGCAATAAGAGGCTCTCTTTCTTCTGCTTTCTTATATCTACATGAGAAAGACAAAAAGAAAAGTAATTTCTTCCCTCTTCCTCAACAATCTATAAATAATGACTGAGAAATTTTAATTACATAGAAACAAACAAATAACAACAACATCAAAAAAGCCAGACTTATATTCTGTTTGTAGTGTGGAAATAGTTGAAAGGAATTTTAAGAGCACATTTCCTTGTTTTAGGCAAGATACCTAAAATCTTTCTAGAAAGAATAGCTTAAAAGAATTGAGGACTATTCTATAGCTTTCTTATGTAAATTTATCTAGCATTTAATTTTCATCAAACCACAATTTTTCTATAAAATATAAGCTGACATGCTAGTTTCAATGGACATTCATGTTATATACCAAATAATATGGGGAGAATTTTCTTATTTACCCTATGTTGAGAAGTTAACAGTTTATAAAGTGCTCTTAAATCACTTTAATTGCTATACATCTAAAATGTTCTCTAAAAATATCTACAAATAGAACATGAACTAACCAATTCAATATAGAAAAAGCTATAGGATTTTGTATGCAAAGGTATCAATCCTATTGAGAAACCAAAAAACAGTATTAAATGTGATACTAGTCCTCCACCTCCCAAACAACTTTTATGGAGAATGTTACTAACAAAGAAACTGAAAAAAAACTATTTTCTATCTTGCATCCAGAAAGATACCTGATTTGATTTATTTCAAATCAAATGTTCTGATATCTCTACATCATAGTTTCCAGGATAAGCTGCTAGTAAGTAAATGATGTTCTGAAACTAACAAATTTGAGAAGCACTGCACAGTATTATGTCACTGTCTTGGAAATCAGCAATATGCACTACAAAGTTAAAGCCTCTTTAAATAACTGCAGTCAAATGGTCTGGGGCTATAGCTCGGTGACAGAGCACTTGCCTCACACACACAAGGCCCTGAGTTCAATCTCCACTAACACACACATGTGCACACATACACACACACACACACACGAAAAGAAACGCAGCAAGTAAATATGTTTAATTGTGTTTAATGCTACATTTTCCAAGCTAAACTGATTCTGCACAACACCAACAAAGGACCCCTCTATACAACTTATTTCCAAAGTTACTTACTCATAAGTCTTCACCAGTTGATATAGACATAATAAACTGCCAAGCCAGCTTCCACTGTTCTGTGATTGCAAGTAATAGTCTATCTTGTCAACCACCGCTGGCCAGTGACCAGGAAAATCATGTTTAATGATAACACGGAGACACATTGTTAACTGGACTCTATAAGGTGAGGGGAAAAAAGGCAAAATTTAAGTAGTTACAAGTATCATGTATCGAAAACCTCTGATATTTTACATAAAAGTGTTCTTACCTCCTATTTACCCGTATTGCAGCTACAGTCGTGCATCACTTGACAACCTGGATAATGTTCTAAGAAATGTCTCATGCAGTTAAGTTGTGTTAAGTGCAGTTAAAGACTGCACTTTCATAAACCAAGATGGCTACCTCACTACCAGGTGATGCAATCTTGACGGACCACCACTGTTTATGTGGGTGACCAAAACATTACTATGCAGCTCTTGGCTGTATCTACATGGGATGGGAGGAAAAAAAATAGTCCCATATAAAAAAAACTCATGTCTTCATTTATTGAAAATAAACAGAATGGAGGATATCTTAAAATGAATGAAACCTCTCAAACTATCTTATCCTAAAGGCAACTTTTAAAAAAGTGAACATAAATATAAGTTTCATAAAAATTTCAATACAGTGACTCTACTTCAGCTCTGTAAAATTTCTCATCTTGCTATATTTTGTATTTTGGTAATCATACCCTAAAGGAGAGGAAGGCAAAAGCATGTTATCATTTCACACAAACCTAGTCTACAGATGGTAGGAATAAGGGATACAGAAGCCTACTCACTGCAGGACCCTCTCTGTGTGCCAAACATGACCACCACCCCTCATCAGCCTCAGCCAGCCTAGTGTGCTGAACCTGAGACACAACTTTTGTTCTTTGAGCATGAGAAAGAAGTATGTATTAACTAAGCATCTCTGGAGAGGAAAACTAAGAGCCATTTTCAAAGGAATAAATGAGAAAAGCAACAGGAAAGGTATGGGCAGAAAAAGAGAATATGCCTTTAGTGAAAACACAAAGAGGTAAAAGATGTTAGCTCATAACACTTAGATCAATTATCATTTCCTTAGTGAGACCTCCACTGTATTTGAGATTAAAAAGAAATGAGGAAAAACATCCCTTCTACAAACTACAATCAATATTATCACTAAATATGTCCTACATGGTCATTTGCAATTGGTAAGAAAATTAACCTGGCAAAAAGGATTCTACAGTGCAAAAGAACAAAAACTATTCAGTTGAAGAGCCAATAAGTTTGATTCCTTATATTGCAATATGTATTAGAAAATTTTCTTTCCAATGTTTTTAAACAAAGTTGGAGAATAAGAAAATCAGCCTCCAAGGACAGTTACAATTAAGCCATAAGGACACAGAAGAAGCAAAGCCACAAATAACTGTGTTACATAATAAAGACAGAGATCCCTTTTGTGCCATAGTAACCTGTCCTTAAATGAATAAGTCATATTTTTATGCAATAAAATGTGGGGAGACTTTGGCCAAAGGAGTGATTGATATGAATGGGAAAAGGAAGGGATCTTGGGAACAACAGTTCCCAGGCACCTGGAACACATGGTTAAGTTTAGAGCAGATCTGCAAGACAGCAGTCAGCAGAATCAACAATAATTATTCTCAGAGATGTTTGCATTGGCTATTTTATCCCCTCTGCCCTGATAAGACTACTTGAACTAAGTCAACATGTGTCATGTAACAAAGCACCCCATTTCTCCCTTTCCCCAACCAAAACTCCTACACAAATGTTGCAAGGACTTTTCTTCTATATCTTTGTTCTCATGTCCTTGAGTTACAAATAAATGACCATGGAGGTCTCAGCTCACTGCTGTTTCCTGAGGCTTTCTCAGGCAGAGAAGCAGCCCCTATGGGTTTCTCAGTGATTGATCCAAGTCTCATCTCTGAGTAATCTTTCATCCTCTGTGCCACCACTGTCACACACTGCAACAAAAACTGAAGCTTTTTTAAAATTTCATCATCAGTCCTTTCTCATGCCAAGCCAAGCAAAGGATGGCCCTTCATGTATCACTATGTAGAATCATTGGAAGATTCAAAGACGTCATAAATTGTAAGAATTTGACAAGAGATGGATATATGATGTTATCACAACAGGGGTATCAGGGCCACAACTGGCATTTGGGCAACCAACGAGAACAATGGTGATTTTTAACTATCAGAATAACTGCTCAATGTCTGTTGTTCCTGTTACCATTCTCCTCAAACTTCTTTCCTTTTTTATGCTTATATCATAATGTATAGTAGACACTCAGGGTTAAAGTTCTAACTAACATCTTAATAATCATATTCCCCTACCACTGCTTTATTGGTTTGCCCCTCCATTTTCAAAAGAAACTTGCTAGCTCATATTTTGAATAGGCTTTGTTTCTCCTGTTTTAAGATTGCAAAATCAGTGGCTGAGGGTGTGGCTCAATAGTAGAGTACTTGCCTAACATGTGTAAGATCCTAGATTTAATCCCTGGTTCCACAAACACCAAAAAAACTTCTCAGTGTAGGACTGCAAAATTGATATGACTCTACAGCTATGTTATCCAACACAGCAGCCACCACTAGCTCCATGTGCACACTTCAAATGAATCAAAATTAGGTAAAGTACAGTTCCTATGACTAGCCACATTTCAAGTGGAGAAAAGCCACCTATGCCACATGGCTAAAGGCTGGACAGCAAGAATAAAGAATGTTTCTATCACTGCAGCAGACAGTGCTGCCCGACACATCTAATTTCATCTATGAGTTTTAAAAGCTGATGTCAATTATTCTAGTTTACACGTACTCTATCCTATCTCCTTCAAAGAAAAGGATAATCAGTTCATAAAATATGAATAAAAATATAGATAAAGGGTGATGAAAAGTGGTAGGTGAGAATTCCCAGAACCAATCTCTATTAATCAAAGTAAAGAAAGGCAGACAGTAAAAAAATCAAGGGACTATGACTAAGAATTCAGGCTATTCTCTTTGCAAGGATTTACATTTTGGTTAAGTGTGATTTCTACCTTACCTCTTTTTATAGCAATTTATGGCAATTAAATATTTTCCAAAATATTTTGAGGCAATTAAAAATGCAAAGATAAATAAGTAAAATAATCTTCTTTGAGTGTTCATCTTCATTATTATACCTCTTTAAAAAATAAACTTGAGGGCCGGGGATTTAGCTCAGTGGTTCCGCTGCCTGCCTTGAAAGCACAAGGACCCAAGTTCGATCCCCAGTACCAAAAAATAAATAAAAAATAAAAAAATAAACTTGAGGCTGATGATCAGATCCAACAGGACCCATCCCCAATTCCAAGTATTTCATGCTTCCTGGTAACCACATATAGAGCATAACATACCTCACTAAATCAGGAGACCGAATTATCCCTTCCACAATATTATCACGTATCTGCTGGCGATCATTTTCATGAATGTTGAATGGAAAGACTGCTTCTCCTGGTGGAGGTTCTCGGTCTGGCCAGTACTGTGTCACCATGTTCTTCAGATAGATAGCAGCTACATTTGAGAAAAAAGTTCTAATGTGTTAGTATCAGAAAAATGGCTTTAACTCAGCTTTACAGAGCATGAACGGCTAAATTCTTCAGTGTTAAGCATGGAAAACCTTAGAGGTATCAATAGCAAGAGGTAAAGTGGAAATGAGCAAGAATTTAAAGGTTTCTCTTTAACTAGTCTAAGCAGAAACATTTTGTTAAATCAACCTCCAGAGCCTAAATAACAAAAAAATTATCTAGGCATAATGTATGTATCTTTAGACTAAACACAGGTGTTCTAAACCAGACCAGATGAGGTACACATTAAGATCGTAAAATTACACTTCTCACAGCGCTGAGTTGATGACAGGTACAGTTCTACTTCTCTTCCTGTAGATTTTATTGTTATCCTGCACTACCATTTTGGAATTTCTATGGTTTTTAAAGAATTGGAGGGGCCAGGGATTTAGCTCAGTGGTTTCGCCAGCTGCTGCGCAAGCAAGTGCAAGGACCCAAGCTCAATCCCGGGTACCAAAAAAAAAAAAAAAATGTGAGAAGTTCTGGGCCCTCAGAAGGCCTTGGGAAGACAGATGGTCCTGATGTCTGTGGCAAGCCCAGATAGAGAAGTTAAAAATAACTTCAGAAAGCTGTTTGTTGTTCCCACAGTGTTGTTCCCCAGTGGTCCCTTGAGACTCTCAAATATTTGCTTGACATAAGAATAGATAAAAGTAGCTAATCCTTTAGAAGCTTTAACAAAGACGATTTAGATAAAATGTATTAAGATTAAACATGCACAGATGGTTCTTTAAGATGTTTTATGTACTCACAGTATAACTGTGGTTAGTTGACTAAAACTGTAAACTGTTAATGATTGATGTATCCCGCTGAAAAATGTATAAAAGAAAAATACTAACAATAAACCTTGCCTTAACTCCTCATGGAGCTCTGGTCCCCCGTGCCCTTCTTTTAATAGGTTTTGTCAGATACTGTCTTCAGGTTCCAGTCTCCCACCGAGGAGACCCCAACAGATTTTTATGTAATTCTTTTGAAATATTTATTCAAATATAATTAGTAAGAAAATAGACATTAATCTTCAAATATTTTTGGAAAATCTCAGGAAATTTTTATCTGTTTATTGCTAACAAAATCCATAAACAATGTTTTCTTCCTATTCTTTAGGGGTTTTTGGTTTGTTAGTATGAGTTACAACACCTGGCTCCTGTTCCTTTCTAACCACCTTCAACTTTTAATAAAAAGCTTTTGAAACAAATAAGCTGAAATACTGCTACAAGATTTTTTTTTTTTTGGTATTGGGGATCAAACTCGGGTCCTTGAGCTTGCACAGCAGGTGATGAAACCACTGAGCTAAATCCCGGCCCCCCTTGCTACAAGAATTTAAGAGGAAATGTGAAACTTTCTAACTATCCCAGTTGAACATTGAATGTAATTAAATATATATATTCTTACACTCATGTGAATAAAGATATGACCCATAAAACATCGTAACTTTAAGATTCCCTGCTGCCCCCACCAACCCTTCTTTCACCCCACTTTTGTTTGTGGTTTGGGTTTTTTGGTTTTTTGGTACAGGAGATCGAACTCGGGACCCTGAGCTTTCGAAGCAGGTGTTGAGCTAAATGCCGCCCACCCACCACACTTGTTTTGGTTTTTGGTTTTTTTTTTGGTCAAACTTGGGACCTTGCACTTGTGAAGCAGACGGCAGAAGCACTAAACTAAATCCCCAGCCCAGCCCAGCCCACCACACCACACTTTTAACATAAAACTAAATGGGTTAGTAAAAGCATTGCCCCAGGGCTGGGTTGTAGCTCAGTAGTAGAGTGCTTGCCTAGCATGAATATGTCCCTAGGTCTGATCCCAGTACCTCAAGGGGAGGAGGAATAATTATACAAGAGTATAAACCAATATGCTCTGCATTGGCTAAAACATAATAAAAATTTAATGATACTATAAACTTGACATTCTATATGCTCCTCTTTTATTAGTTTTGACTCATGAAAGATCTCTGTAAAGATTTCACCTAGGATTTCAATTTGGGTAAAAAACCAGTAATAGTAACCATATTAATAATCTTTGTGTTAATCTGAGGGATTTTGTTTTAATTTAGACCAAGCGCTACACTTAGTACCATCTTTTATCTCAATATAATTACTACGTTCTATAACTGTAATTGGCAGAGTACACATTTACTAAAAATGTGTAGACAGTTCAAAATAATGAATGAATGAATGATCTAAGGATATGAACCAACCTGTCAATAGTTCATATTGATTTCATGGAATTAATCTTTGGAAAAAGGACAATCAACTGAGGCTGGGGATTTAGCTCAGTGGTGCTGCCACCTTGCAAGCACAAGGTCCTGAGTTCGATCCTCAGGAACAACCAAAATTAAAAAAGGAAAATAAACTGTATTATACAAAAAATCATTTCAATCCCCATAGGACTAGTCTTAAAAATAAAAGCAAACTTCAGACAGCAAAGATATAGGCATGGTAAAATCATGAATTTATTTATAATTATATGCTGTTAATTTTATAACTAAAAATTGATTTTATTATGGGTCACCATACAAGATAGCTTGTTATAAAGGCACACTGATTTGTATATGGTTAAATATATATATAATTAAAATTTAATTTAATATAATAATTTGAGAAGAGAATATTAATTATCCTTACAGATAATTATGGATTACTAAGGATAATGAAGGAAAAATACCAAAGATAATAGTAACCATATTAATAATCTAAAAACCTCCCTTAAATCATTTAATTCAAATTATCAATTTAATTACTTGTCAAAGCTGAAAAACAAAACACTAATATAATCCAATTCATAAAGTATTAAATTTTGTTTTCCTACAAAATCCACTTAACCATTTTATGTATCTTTTAACTTTTAAATTTTATTTTTATTTAATATTTGTACTTTTTTACAAAATATATTATAGTAATTCAGTACACACAATTCATGAAATGTAACACATGAATATAGTATATAATAATCAAGTCAGGATAATAAGCATTTCCAGCTCTTTAAACATTACCCATTTTCCTGTGTTAGGAATTTTGAACTCTTCTAATCATCTTGAAACCTATCATGGATTGGCCTTGTATTTTAAGACAAGGTCTCAGGATGTAATACAGGGTGGCCTCAAACTCTCCATCTCCATGCCTCAGTCTCCTAAGGGCTGCAATTACAGGTGTGCACCACCACAACTGGCCTATCAGAGTGTGTTTTAACCTATACACATCTTACTGTGCTAAGGAAGAACCAGAAGCAATTCTGCACCCTGGGTTCTGGTCCCCTTACTGAACTTCCATCCCCGTCCCCCTGCCCTTCCCAGTCTTCAGTGACCACTGTTCCATTCTGTTCTTCTGTGAGACTAGCTTATTAGTTTCCACAAAGGAGAACACTGGGCATTTGTCTTTCTGTGTTTGCTAATTTCATTTAACATAATGACCACCAGTTCCTTCCATGTTACTACAAAGACAAGATTTCATTCTTTTTTACAGTGGAATAGTGTTCTGGTTTGGGCCTGGATATCCCCCTAAAGCCTCATACAGTCAGAGGTGGCTGAACCTGGAATGTGTGATGCTGGGATTAAAGGTGTGTGATTACTAAACCACTACACCTGAGTGCTCTAAGCCAGGTAGTCAGAATGGGATAAAAGGGGCAGAAAGATGCTATTAAGGTCTCTTATTGTTTTGCTGTCTTCTGCTGCCATGAACTGTTGCCCCTCTGCCACCCTGCCCTGGAGCCAGCTGATTATGGACTGAAATCTCTATGAACTATAAGCCAAATAAAGCTTTTCCCCTTTAACTTTGGGTGTTGGGTATTTTGTCTCAGCCACGAGAAAAGTAAGTAACACAAATAGTATTCTATTTTGTACAGGTGCCACATTTTTTTTTATCCACTCATCTATGAAAAGGTATCTGGGTTGATTCTGTATTTTAGCTACTAATAAACATAAATAAATAAACATGGAAGTGCAAATGTCTTTCTGGAATGATTTAATGTCCTTTGGATACATCCCCAGCAGCAGCCTTGTTAGATCATATGGTATATCTATTTTTAGTTTTTTGAGGAATTTCCACAACTGCCATAGTAGCTTTACTAATTTACATTTCCATCAACTGTAAAAGAGTTCCTTTTTCTTTTTTTTTCTTCGGTACCAGGGATCAAACTCGAGACTTTATGCTTGCAAGGCAGGCAGCAGAACCACCGAGCTAAATCCCCACCCCCAAGAGTTCCTTTTTCTCTACATTCTCAGCAACGTTTGTTTTTGTTTTCCCCTGTGGTGATGGGAATGGAACCCAGGGCCTCAAATATGCGAGGCAAATGTTCCACCACTGAACTATGTCCCCAGTCAATTTTTGTCTGTTTGCTTTTGATTTTGGGGTTTGTTTGTTTTGTTTTTTATTTGGTTTGGGGTTTTTTTGAGACAGGGTCTTGCTACAAGCTGGCCTTGAACTTACTAAGCAGCCCAAGCTTGCCTCAACCTGGCAGTGATCCTCCTGCCTCAGCCTCATGATTGCTAGGCCATTTTTGTCTTTTTGATGATAGCTATTCTGAGGTGCAATGATATCACGTGCCTCAGATTTGTATGAAGTGGACTTTCTGAAACATACACATGCCTCTCTCCTTCTCAAACACAGTGAATCATCACCTAAACTCTACTCTCTGGACCCAGAAACAGAACTACAGAAGTAGTCTGGGTTCTACAAGCTCAAAGGGCTGAGAAGGTGCTGTTACAAACCTGATGAAGCAGAATGCCATGCTTTTAAGAGGTCTTTCTAAATCTGGTCACCTTTTTCTATCATAATTTATTTGGTCACCTTTCCCTAACCTATTAAAAGACTAAAAAACAAATATGTAAACTGTAACTAAAATAAAATTAAATGCATTATGAGGAATAGCTGAGAAACTACCTACAAATGAAACAGTTTTAATAAACATGTTTCTTGAGCTGCTTCTAACTGATCAGCATCCTCCTTCTATTTGTTT